GATTATATTAGCATTTGTTCTAGAAATCTAAGCCTTCTCATACAGAATTATATCGTATATTAAATTTAAAGTTTAAATAAGATGATAGATAAGATGTAGATAGATAGACAAATGATTTAGGTGCGCACATACAATAAAAATTGTATAGAATTAAAGTTAAATATAATGCAAACATGGATATATAATGTGTAATTGTAACTGATTCTATGTATGTGTTTGCGCATTAATTGTGTGTGTATGATTCTGTACGTGAAAGATTTTAGAAGGGAAAAAAACAATTATTTTCAGTTATAGTCTGGATTAGTTATAAATATGACAATAATATTGTTAACAACTAACTCACCTTGCGTTTGTATTATATTAGCGCGATGAATATATGACAGATGTCCTATAAATACCTATGTATCTATTTAATACAATATATACAATATATATAAACATTTTAGAATAAATTCTCGAAGTAATAATAGCTCATAAACGTTGCCTAGTTTAGACGAAAATAACGACTTTGTATTTATGAAAGAAAATTGTAATAACATTTATTTGATACGTTTTTTTGACGGCATTGTAAATAAATCGATTAATTAAAGCAAGAGAGATTTTGAACCCAATAAGATATTATTTAGCCGCCGTTAATACATATATAGCGAGAAAACAATAAACAAAGCTTCAAAAACTTATAAGTTTCATTATTACAACTTACAGTCTGTATCCTTGTGTATAAATTGAACACTAAAAGATAAAATGTAATGTAATTCAGACGAATTAATACATTTTCTAATAGCCGACTTAAAAAAAAAGTTTTACCTTAATTTTACAGTTCGTTTATTCAGTATTTGAATTGTTAATGAATTTCAAAGAAAAACATCTAAACAATATAGCTAATCAGAAACCAATAGTAACAGTTTTATGAAGCACAGTTGGTGTCCGCAAAGACGGACGCCGTAGCCAACCGGCCGTAAAGGGATGACCTATTATTAACTTTGTGACTATTTCCCACCAAGTAAATTGTTCAGACATTTTCCTCGCATTATTGTTGAAAGGATTTATCGAAAAAATAGCTAGAATATATTTCTTTAGAATTGCTTGTGTTGAATTTTATCGAAGCTTATACTTTAAGTGTTATCTACATTATGAGTATTAATATTTCAGAATGATTGCAACAAATATGTTAAAATAATCTTTATATGTATTTGAAATACTAATTAGCTTGACAGTACAATTTTAGAAAGTGGTATCCGTTCTCAAGTTATGTTCGTGGTACTACCCATTTTTATGGGTGACAATAGAACGATGCACATTAGTGGGGGATGAGAGGAAGAGATTACAGGTATAAAGTGAAGTCAGATAGGCCATCGCAGCGCCATGAGACTAGGAATTGACGACGATGTTTTCCAGGAAGGACCACATAATCAACCTGATATAATAGTTTACTAGTAGCAATGCCGTATTACTAATTATCCCTTTGAAACAAAGGACATAATACACACATCACAAAGCAAGCAGGTTGACGGCTAAAACTGGCAAGACTCTATCTAACTCGAAGTCTAAAACAACGTCACAATCACATTTATATAAATAATCAGTTAGCTTATAAATTGGAAAATCTGAAATATGTGCTATTAATGTTTTGGCTTATTATTAAAATTATATGTTTTATTTTCAAATTACAATCTACAGCATATCTCAAAATTAATTAGAATTCAATACACCTGTAGATTATTCCTATCACCTTATTACGTCTCAGTCCTTGATGTTTAATGTATGAGCCTCTTCTTTACTGTGGGAAACTCGGTTTTTCGACGTTTTCAGAAAGGAGACCCCCATAATTTTCAATCGACATCCTAAATATGTTATATATCCAATAGCGGCTTCATGAATAAAAATAGAGAGGAGTTTCCATACATAACGCTTCCCTTTCCAAAGGTTTCATTTTATGATTATAATAGAAAATAAAGAAGCCAATTGAACCAATTTTTTGTATGAAAATAACTTCTTTCTGTTCGCTACGATTTTTATTTCTGAATAAAATAAAGATAAGTCTTTTTCAGGTCATTGCCAGCCAATCCTTATACTTAACAGTCCAATTTTCCGCTAAGTCAATGATATTAGAAAAGTCAATTTTGTAATTTAATTACTTGATTATATAGTGATGAAAGTATATCTGATGGGTAAGATCTATACATTCCTTAATATCTTTATTATTGAGCAGTTAATTCTAATTTTAATTACGTATTATCAATGTAGGTGATACAAGAATGCGTGATTTTTTGCATTGCACCTGGGTAAATAACTAACATTCTTAACCATTAAAAGATTCACGATTAAGGAAAGGAGCTGTTACAATCACAATTCTTTTTAACGTGCATAATAGTTGCACTAAGATCATGTAATTGTAATAATATAAGATACATAAGATAGAATTTTTACCTACTGATTACCGCATATAGTCTGAATCACGGAATCATTAGCATTCTACAAAGACTTCAATGGAATTACAAACCATGCACATTTCATAACAGAACTGAACCGGCAATTTATGATATAAAAAAATATCATTTTTTTGTGTTTTACTGTTCTCGTTGGCCGTTTTGATCCCATAAACTGTCAGTAGAAATAATAGGCATTTGTTGTACTGTACGTTGAAGACAATTTATACGGGAACTTCGGCAACAAAAGCTATTTGATTTTCATTATTTCCCAGTTTTGGGCGGCATCCCCCGGTTAGCTGAGCAGCGCTTTGTTTATCGTCTTCTTGAATGGACTCCATTGTGTTACAGCAATTATCGAATAGTTTGAAATAGACATTTTCTTCCTGGAAATCTATGGGATCATTATACAATTGGTTACGATGAGAGAGCTATTCAACAATTTAATGGTGACAATGCAAATTAAATCCTTTGTAAATACCAAGAAGTGTATTTATTAATAACATGACGGAATCCCTGTGGCTTTTAGAACTAATTTGTTTTCTTCTGTAATAAATAATAATAGAAATACTTAAAAATGACAAACATTCCGAGAATATTAATTTTTTTATAATACATACGTTGGTAGTCTGTAGAAGCGTCTATGCAACTTGATGGTGGATGACGAGTAGATATGTATCATCTCTGATGACAAAACCTTTCAAGTAACACAAATGTCATATAAATTATTTCTTAATCGTAACAATTAACTATCCAAGTGACCTCAACATTGCAGTTTCATTGATTCAATTTTCTTATACAGAGCAATGAAGCAATTATGTGCATGCAATACCTAAGATATAATTATAATTAGAACTACAAAAGTACAATGGAATAAATGTAATAAATAGTAATACAAAATTGATATCCATTAATATTAATATATAGGACTTCTATCTTAATGAAATATAAATTAATTGAATCATGAAATACTCAGAAGTCTCAGTTCCATTTTTTACTAAAGTAAATTACAAATAAGACACAATAATCATAATGAAGTAAGACACAATAGTGTTGTCTGAAAACTTCCTTTACCAAAATAAAAACAACTGTTGCAGTCAATACTAATATTATGACTATAAATGCGGAAGTGTGTATGTCTATTTGTGGTCGAACTAGAGAGATATATGCGTTTTGTGCTTTACAATTCTACCGTAGATAAGCTCATGCTGGTGTACAGATGAGAGAATGGGTAGCAAAGAGAATAAATGCGGCCAAAATGCACGCTACATATGTAGATTCTCCACAGATTCTATATCACATTTGTCACTAAACCTAAAAGCCTGCACAGACTAGAAAGATTTTATCCGCGCTTGTCCACAAAATACATTTCTCCTTTACAGTAGCTAGTCATATGTATTAATATTATGATAGTGAAGTAACCTATAATTTGTATCGTGTATTAAGGCTCTAAAACATCATATGTAAGCCTCCATTGTCTGTGCACATTTTAATAACACTAAAGTTATATTTTTGTACACATATGATAGTAGGTGAAGTTTAATTTTGCAAGAAATTTATGTTTATAAAAGAAACTGGGCATAGTTTAAACACCTACTAGGCGTCTATTCCTTTATATCAAATATAAAAGCAATAGATATTTAAGATGTAAAGGATATCATACTGCACCATAACTAAATGGTTAATAAAGAATTGTTAGATAGACAAGCGAAGTTGTATTTTTTTCAGATAGTTGCCGAACTATACAATTAGCAGGTATAAAATAAGTATATATTTTCATATACACATCTAAGTCACATTGGAAAATTAATCATATTATAAAAAATTACGGCTTGTAACGATCAAAGGAATCAATACCGTTAAACAATATAAACAGTTAGATACACGACTGTTCCAAACATTGTAAGGCCATCGTAAAACAGTTTCATTATTCACCGCTAGGGGCGCTAATAGCCGTGTACGTACACGTCAACATGTTGTTTATGCGATACATCATGGCGACAGTAAACAATGTCGGTTCGCCAGCTTCAAAAGTGAATAATTATGCCATAAATGAAAAACAAAGCCCAGTCAAATTTTAATAATTATGTTCCCATCCAGTAAACCTATGGTCAAAAGTCACTCGATAAAAAAATCTATAATTATATTAACTACATGTCAGATGCATAACTCATATAGGGCTAACTAGTCCTAAATTAAGTAAAGCTGGTACCATCAATTCTAAATAATTGTTAGAAAGACTTAAATAATTATTCTACTACATAAAAAGACACATATGACTAGAAATAATTTTACTAATCGAAAATCTAAAAAAAGGTCGACCTTTCTTTTAGATTTTGTGTTAGTCCACTAATAATACTACTGTCGACAGATAAAATAGCACCACTTTCCTGGGTAGTCGATAACTTTATGGTACAATCGATTCTACGATATATCTATATTATATACGATATAGTCACGTCACGTATACATATGTATAGATCTAATAAAAATACATTATTGAATATTTGCTATAAAACTTTATTTTCATTTATAATACTGTAACCAAACTATGAAAGAGAACATTTTATACAATCATCCAATTCCTATTAATTATTTGCACTACGTTATACCACATCAAAGCAGGCACTAATATTAGTCCAAATTTATGTTTCTAAATGTGCCAGGAATTCCCATATATTGTTCTTTAAATTTATCTACACTTCTAAGGGACTCGTCGGTTTTGTAATCTTTTGTTTTCATCATGTATTCTATGAATTCCTTTGAACTCAAAGCTTCGTGAAAGTCCTCTGCAAAAAAATATTAGAAGTGAATAAAAAAAGAATTATATTCACGGCCTGATAACTTTCTGTTCAATAAGTAATGATAATATTTTTCATTCATAATAAATAAAAGGTTATTAATAGAATCAGTATTATGTTTTCTTGGCAAATTTTAGTTACTTCACAATTGAGTTCATTACAAATGTAAAAATAATTTGTTCGTAAAACCGTAGAAATAATGTATATTAGTAAAGTTATTTTGGTTACTATGTCAATATTGTTTTGCTCTTTTATCTATCTTATTTACATTTTTATCAAGGAAGTCCGAAATTTAATGGAATGCAATTAGTTGCTACATTACTTAATTTTGGGCTAAAATGAATATGCAAAGTGCATCATTATCATTATCACGAACTTAGGTACCAATGTAATATGGGCTCTATTCTCCGTACTTTGCCTCTCATCTGGGCCGTTGTGTGTGTAATTTAGGTACTAAACATTGTCTAGTATTTACAATGACAGAATCTCAATGGTCAATGACGCGCGAAATTTTTTTCAACTGTTTATTGTTATGATATCTGCTGATGTTAAGATTAAAGTCTGATAATAAGGCAAATATTCATATTGTATTTTAGATAAAACAATAAAAAAATTCTTGACCTTGTAATTTCAAATAAGGCTTTGCTTCACCACCATATTTATACGGAAGAACTTCTTTCGGCATAAATTCATAGAGGGTCTCCAACGTCGAGTTTACTATAAAACGGTCGCCCATTTTCTGACCAGTCAAAAGTTTGAGGAACGTCACCAGTGTATCAACTACTCTCGATGGAGTTAACAGATGCAATGCTTTAAACCTCACACCAAATGCTTCCTGAAATAGAAATGCAATTTAAAATTACATGTATTTTTTAAATATAATAAGTGTTACAGAAAATGTGTCTGAGCAATTTTTTCGCACTTTATAAGCGGATTAACTTACTAAAGAGTTTAATTTAATACCTATACTAATTACTTAATATGAATTGTTTTTCTTATTTTCAGGTAAATGAACACGATAAATATGTAAATCTATTAGTTACTGTTAATGACATAATTTTAATTATATTATAATTTCTTACTACAAATAACATGAACATTTGACTGAATTCTAAAATATTGATCTTTTTTATGACTTCCGGTAAACTGGCATCCCTCAAGTCATAAAAAATTTAAAACTTGAACTATAATCATTTTTAAAAATATACTCCCAATACTGAAACACAAAAATATTTTCATATTATGGTCGTTATTATTCTTCAATTAAACATAGATACATATAATATTCAAGAGAAGTTGAAGAAAATCTTTATCATTTATCTGTTTACGTATTAATAACCAAGTGTGTGTACATATGAAAGTCCCAAACCAAGCAATTCTTGTACTGTAAATACTAGATAACTTGTGAACTTACATATTTAAATATAATACTGTATGATGACGATTTATAATTTAAACAATAAAAATATCGACTTTTAGTCAATATGGGTCTGAATTTAAGCGTAATTAAAACACATAAACAATTTAAATTCTAAAGGCAATTGCTCGAATTTAATTGTAATAGTATATAGACTGGAATATCAGGGATCTTCCAGGGTTTAAATTCATTTATATCAAGTTAGCAATTAGAGCACACCACATACTTTTAAACAAAGAAGAACTCGCAAGTTATCCGAGATGTCCAAAGCGTAAAAGGATTAATGAACAAAGATAGGAACTTACTAAAATTCCTCTTTTGTAGAGGTCCAATAACGAACATTTGTTGAGTTCCTTACCAACAAACTTTAACATATAAACTCTGTCATGATCAGGTGTAAGTTTCGGTAGGAAAAGGTCGACGCTGTAATAAGATGCAATTGTGAACATAAATGATTATATAATATATATTTTCTTTTAAGGTTTCTTGATCTAACTTGTACAATATTGAAATGTACAAATCTAAAAATTATACTTTAGAGTTATTCAGTTAATCAGATTGTGTTAAAAAGAAACATATCTGTATTCGTAAATGTTAATATATCATAATCACAATAAAATATAAAATTATATAGTAACTTTACATGTCACACCAGTCAAATATGTATATTTATTTCTAAATTTTTTGTATACAAATAAATAAAGAAATTGTTTCGTGAGTATAGGAACCTCTCTCTTTCTTCTTTTGTTCTTATAAAATATTAGAATTGATTAAAAAATACTTACAATGCAGGTATTGGTTTGAATTCCTTAACATTTATCGTAGCTATGAATTCTGGCACTAAATTTCTCGAAGTGCATATTTTATCTAATCTATTTTTCGTTCGCTCCACTGATCCTTTACTTGCTATTATTAGCCTCTCTAAATATTCTCTATCTACAAAATTTAGCAAATATTAATAGGTAAGTAGATATAAGGTAAGACATAATATCATAATTCTAAAGAAAGTCTGTAAGGCTCTATGTGTTACCGTAGCTATATTATATAAATTATTACTTGTTACAACTAATTAATTTCGGAATCCAGAATTGTGATCATTATTATTATATTATGAACTTCTGTGAGCACTCCATTGCCATTCTCAAGTACTACAATATAATGTCCCTGGACTGTGTAATTTCACAACTTTATCTCACATTATAATCATGTGCAGGATAAATTGAATTTATAGGAAAAGATGGTAACTACTGAAAAACCTCTATTAAGTTGTCTTACAAGAAGACACTATTATGACTTACCAAATTCTTTGTTAGTAAAATGTTTTTGCTTTTTTATCCATTCCTCAATTATATTTATAGCTTCATCCATGCTTCCTGCTTTGTCCATATCATATAACTTTCTAACTGCCTGCAATGTGTCTGGACGATATTCCAAGAACAAATCTTCATGTAGTGTCTGCATTTTTTGTTCAACTATACCGTATTGTAAAAAAAAACTGTCGTCTTTAAAGCGACTCAATGCTGCGCTCCTTTTTATAACCATCCATAATTAATGCAATAGAAATTAAATTAATTAAATGACGAATGTTGTAATTTGACTTTAGATTATTAATTCATTTGAAAATAGTGGCATTAGTTATTCAGATAACTTATAATCGAACTTCGTTTACAATAATCTACTTACTAGATATTAGATAGGTACATTATTGTGAATAGAAGTAGATACCGTTTTATTTAAAAATTAAAATTATCCCTTATGTTGCTATTATAGTGTTTGTTTAAAATATATTTTAATAATTACAATATTATTTTTTACACGCGTGATTGTTAGTAATAAACTGTGTTAACTCATAAAGTTTTAATGGCAAATTAAATTTAATGCTTTAACACCAAAGTTAATTTGTAAGTTTTATTATTAAGAATGTGACCAAAAATTAAGTACATCGATGTAATCTATAAGTTTTCTTAAAGTTAATATCTCATTGTGTAGCAACTATGAATAACATAATAATTTTATTGCTGTCACAATTATTGCAATATTACTTAGTTCATAAAATTATGAAGTAATTAGGAATTAATAAACCGCGACTTTCTTATTTCCGCCGATTAAAAAAGGCAAATCAGTAGTGTATTGTTTTGTTTTTTAAAAGGCTGAGAAATTTATTTATTTATTTATATATATTGATGATCTATGCATGAATTCCAATCATGTCTTGGTGTCATTATCGTAATCCATAAACTGATACTGCTCTTAGCAGAAAATGAATGTAATTTAGTAACATCTATACAAATTATGAAATTTTTACTTTGATGTATAATTACCTGATATCTATTAAATTATAGTGCCCATTAGAACAGAGATCATAGCGAATATCTCATCTTACTAATTATCTTTTGCATGATCGTATTTCCTTGTATATTTTTTCTATACGTTTTCTTGCCCAGATGCAATTAGTACTTGATAACAATGATGTTATAAGAAATGTGATTTATTGAATAGTCACTGCCACAACTCTCGATCCCGTGGGATTGCGATCTATTAATGCTAGTAATAAATAAAAAATGTAAATAAAAACAAATTTATTCCAATACTTTTTCCCTCTGACAATAATGTTATTGTATAATAATTACTTATTTATATTAGTGTCAATATTATACACACATAAATGAATGGAATATTTCGACGATATTAATGAGAATTGAGACTACAAATTTTAACAGCGAAACATAATAAATAAAATTAGCGAGGAAGGGTAACAATAAAACTTTAAACCCACATTGAACATTTCACCTATTTTTGAACTGAAACTCATAGTATCATCATGAGAAAATTACATATAAATTTTTTGTCATATGAACATAAAGTCCCCTCTTTTGCAGTCGCCGTAGTCGTGTCTTTATTAAGGATATATATTTAATACATATTTAAATTTGATTCGAATTCATAAAGACGTTATGAATTAGAATCAAATTTAAATATGGCTGATAAATAAAATGTTTTTAAATATTTTTACCAAAAAAAATTTGAAACATGACATGTAGAATAGATGTTCTTTATTCAATTTTAAACTATGTTATTATATGTTTTTGTAAGTACACGTCACTAGGTACTAAATATAACAACTTTTATGTAAATCTGTTTTACCATTTTTTTTTCAGCACAGCATATTTGCAAGCACATTTTGAAGGTTTTATGAGGACATATGCGAGACCGCATCGATTAAAATTGAAACAATTTCTGTATGAAACTATGCAAACTTTTATTTTTTAGAACCATTACATATTTCTAGAAAAAGTAGTTCAATTCACATAAGGACAGTGTCAACTTCTACAAAACCCCGTGTCAATTGCTCTGTGTCCACATGGGTTACAAAAAAATATACTATGTGTTATCGCGCGGGAAAACTTTATTGTTTATATCAAACGACAGTTCTAGTAGCGTGGGATTACAATACGTTACTACTTACCACTACTCAATTATGTTCAAAAGCAATATAAGGAATCTTGCGTATTGGTTTCATTATTTCTATCATCTACATTATAGGCGTGCAATTCTAAAAGCAATAAAGATATGGAAACTTTAAGCAAAGATCCCATTTTAGAATTCAATTCCGACACATTGCTGAGTGTTCGGAAGTTATACGATCTGGATAGACCAGGGAGAATGGAGGAGGCAATAAATATATTGGAGGAATGGGTGAAAAAACAAGATCACTTCACTAATAAAGATTTCAGTGAGTACCTTAATAATAATAATAGCACCTATTGTTTTCATGTAATGAAAATGGCAAACGAGCTGACAGGTGTTGCCGTCGCCTATATATGTACATGAAGATCACTACGAGGTCTTGTTATCATATGATGCCTGTAATATCACTTATGCATTACCATTAAGAAGGACTAAGATGATATGCCTCTTATGCTATAATCTTACCCTTAAAAAGAAAAACAGCAAGCTATATGTCGGGTGAAATATACATGTACATAGAGGTAACCAGGTATACAACCATTTACAGTCCTCTTCGATGAGTTAAATCTTTATTTGTGTTAAAAAAAAATCTGATACAATTTCTAAGTCCACTACTGAGTGGGGGCGGTGACTCTATTCTCTATTGCTATTATTAATAGAGGGTGAACAGTACTGGTTAATTTATAATCCGAATAAGTTTTTCATTAATCAAAAACTTTCTGAAATTATACGATAATTAAATCAGAGAAATTTATTATAAATATTTATCAGATCAGAGAAATTTATTATAAAATTGTATTTTTTCCTCATTTCACGAACTAATTTCTTACCATTACCTATATACGCAAGTAATTAATGCGATCTTATGACAGGTATGCGAAAGTGGGTATGGGTCATAGTTACCTTTAGATTGTACGGATTTTAATGAAAGTAAATAAACAAATCATTTTGTGTCTAATTTGGTTGATGACAGTGAACTAAATGCAATAAAACTCATAAAATGCAGATGAGTACGATATAAGGCGGAAGTACATTTATGATGATATTTTAGTTAATTTCCACAGACAGATATCATTTGGAGAGGATTATAATCAACAACAAAGGTTTCTTGGAGCGGGTCAAGATAAAACTGGACAGCATTTGTACAGGAAGAACTTTGATGCCTAATTTCTTTATACCTGTCAATGTTAAAGAGGATTTTAAAGACATGGGCGACTTGTAAGTTTGTCGATCTATTTTAGTAATATTAGTATTCACATATCATATTATGCATACATATCATAGTATCTATGATTAATAAAGCGATTTCTCTATATGTATAATAATATAAATACTATTCGGTATTGCTGGGTCCGCAGCAAACGTAGTCCTGTTCGGAAAAGCGGCGCCTATTGTTCAAGAACATATTGAATAATACATACAACATTTTATATGGGGAATGAACTGGCATGTAAATTTTCATGTATAAAGAGGTATTATCAAAATTCAAAATTAGAATTCACAACCTACTTGGTTGAAGTAAAAATTACATACAGATATAATTACCCATGCAATGATTATTGCATATTTGATTATGGATTCTAATCTTTAGATATAATTATATATCTTTGTATTACAGCATCGACGTCGTATTACCTAAACTTACGCCAAATAATCATAGAGTTTATATTTGCAAAAATAAAGGAAAGGAATTTACATCAACGCAGACTTTAAATTATTATAAGCGAATCGTAATTGTAAGTTTACATTTTAAATTAAATTTTATTTAGACTAAATTAAGCAACAATATTGATATTTACTCGTACTTTAATATTTGTTAATCCAATAAAACAGTATTGAATGATATTTTCGGAATAAAATATAATTCTTATTAATTCATCAATTACTAACTATTTACCGCAACTATGTATGTTATTTTTAAGATATTAGATAACCTCCGGTCTAGTGGTCAATTTTATATCATTAAACAAAAAATATTAGTATGAAATATGTATAATAACTTCATCTATTTCAGATATGGGATTACGTAATGACACACGATTACAACGGTGGTATAATTGGAGTCGCTGATTTTACAGAAGCAAATTTAGCAAATTTCATTACTCAGCTCACTATAAATTTTAATGAGATACGTCAAGCAGTTACTTTAATATTGGTAAGATGTAATGTTTACAAAAAAAAATAAGAAGGAATTCTTTTAGTTAATGTGTGAATAGTATAACAATGGGAAGTCAGTTAGCAAGACGCATTAGACAATAAAATTACACCCTAATACTATATTAAACCTTAAATTTAACTTAACCCTAATACATGAATGATACTGATGACATTAGGTAACGTGCATAGTTTTTTTCGTTTATATAGGCGATGGTGACCACTTACCATCAAATGAGTCGACGCGACGGCTTCATTACGATTCGAATTACATGAAAAATAAACCATGGGTTTATTTATGGGTTATATTTTATGAAAGACTTTTTTTAAGATTTGACTATTGTATTCGTATCTACTAATTATTAGGCTTTGTTATGAGGAAAGGTAAGCTTCGAAACAACTGCACGGATTTGGGAAATTTTTTTACTGTTTGAAAATATACAAGTCACAGGGGCGAATCACTATCATAAATAGTATCCACAGTTACAGTATATACTATATATGTATTATCTGTCGTGAAATTAATAAACAACATGTCATACTTGAATTTCTAGAATTTCTAATCTTTAAATGATTTTAAATGTCTCAAGTAAGTAGCTATTTCCAGAAATACATATGTAATTATCATATACTTACAGGAATGTTTCAGCACAAGATTAAAAGAGATTCATATAATATCATCTTCAAAATTAATTGTAAATTTTGTGGCAATATTAAAGACTTTAATGAGTGCAAAACTCATCAGTCGTATTCGAATACACTCCTCGATAGATTCATTACGTGAAGTTATACCAGTAGAAACACTACCAGTCGAATATGGAGGGACAGAGACATCGATGTACCAATTACATAGTAAGTTAATTATTATATATATAGAATATGGCATAATTATATTATATATATTATATATATATATAATTATATATATATATATATAACGACGGTAGATATTATTACTATTCATACAAAAATATATATATTATAAAACTCCTCGCTAACTCGACTTAATTTCATCTGCGTCATCCACGAAATGGAAGCTCTCAAAAGTAATAGTTTACCGTTTTTGTAACTTTTTTCATTGATGCTCCGCTTCTCTATTAGTCGTAGAATGATGTTATAAGTATGTGTCCTTCCTCGATAAGTAAGCTATGCAACACATTTTTTTAAATCAAACCAATCGTTTCTAAAGCTGGTATAGATTTTAACTACTGTACTGGTTTAACTTCTTATTACGTGCATTTTTGTTAGAACAGCGATATTTTTGTTAACTTACTATTAGGTCTGAACCCCTATTAATTTGACTTCAGCCGCTCCATAAGCCTTTTTTCCGGATTGCAGTGCCTGTCACATTCACGCTTACACTTTTAGCCCAAAGCCAGCCCATAATTAATATATTGACTTTGGGATGAAAGTCAATATATTAATTATATGGACATAATAATTATATTGCATTAAAATAAGTTTTTTTTTTCAGGCAAACTCCTTGATATTCTCAGTACAAAGGAATACATAGAATATTTAAAGATGACGCAGGAGTTTCGCACTGATGAGAATCTGAGAAAAGCTGACAAATTTAATGATAAGTACTTGGGACAACCGGGTACATTTAGAACACTGAATGTAGATTAATAGTTTATAATCCAAATGAGTAAATGAGTACACCGAGAGTACATATTTTCGCGAGCCTGAAACTAATTTTAATGAACAAGTTATTGTTGAGCGATAACTCGTAACATGCTTTAGAAAGTATATTACGAAGCTTTTTAAACGTCAGCTGCGGTTCCGTGTGTGGATTAAGTAGCAGTACACTTCCATGGATGTCAGAAAATAGTTTATTTTTGTTACACTCTGCCATTTAAAATTTTTCAAATTATATTAAACCCTATGTTTTGAAGAAAAAATGACTATAAAGTTGTAGTCGTCAGCTGACTGAGATTAACTAAATTCCTCCCTAGTTCATAAAATATTTTGGTCTAAAAAAGGCAAAATTCCTTTTTACCCACTTTCCACAGTCACCTATGCATTGTTGCAAGTAATATCCATGTATTCAGTTTAGGTTAGACCGTATTTGTTACTGTCCAATAAATTATGTATAATAATAATGATAAATTCATAGTAAATTTACCACGATTGGCTAACTGACCTGACCTCATGCTCTTCTTATTATCCTCCACTGGAGTACTGTAAGCATAAACCGTTAGCACAGGCAAGGTGCACCATTATCAACTATAAGAAAAAAAGTACTGATTTACACATACTCATAATATTGCTTGCACAGAAAAAGTAGGCGTTGTATAAAATGTGAATTGATTTTAGAATATATTTCTATCGGTCTATATATATAGACCGATTTTTGCTTCGGAATTTCAATTTATCTATACCTAGATTTACTTTAATAGAATTTCTTTTCTTTCAGTATTTGGAAACTTATAAATATAAAATATTTTTTATTCAACCAGCTGTTTATTGCTGCTTCGGTTGCGAAAAACAGTTCCCTTTTTTTTTAAAGTTTCATCAATCCTTTTTTACTTGATAAACAACTAAAAGGATGAAAGATAAACAAAAATCTATCGTTTGTAATTATTTTTAAAAGCTGCTTTGTAAAGATTGTTGTTTAATCAGTATCGGTCATATTAAAGATTTGAAGAATATATTACGCTGATATTTTTATTGTCATTTCAAGATTTATTTCCATTGTGGACCGGAAAGCCCCAAAACAAATAAGGTAGGTAGGTATAACTATCACTAACCTCCCGTTAACTGAACCGGGTCATCTGTTACCTAAGTTGCGTAATAGCATTATAACAGATATCCTTCTGTCCTTCATGTGTATTCGTTCAGAATATAAATGATGACTTGTGTTACACGATGACAGCAAAAACCGCGCTCCTATTAGAATACAGTTCGCTTATTGCATAACAATTTCACTTTCACTATTTTGGCAATACAGGATCTTGATAGGTATTATTTATATAAATTTATTCTACGAAGTTGCTGATTTAAGGGTATAAAATAACTTCAGTAATATTTACAATGGTAGGTAAAAAATAAACTGAAACTTATATATCGGTGGTATTTTTTATCAATAGAATATATAGTATTATAGCATATACGTTATTATTATACAGCTTCCAAGAAATTTGATAAAAAAATGTGTTTTGGTTGAACATTGTATCTTAAATTACAGGATTATAGGCTTACTTCTTTAAGGTACTGTCTATAGTACTGTTAACGTAAATATATTATCGATAGTTACCACTTACCATCAAGTAGCCCGTTAGCTTATTAGTCATGGTAATCACAAAAAAATGTCAAGAATATTAATATACTAGCTGACCCGCGCAACTTCGTCTGCGTTTCATTTTCCCAACTTTTGCAATATTTTTCATTGCAGCTTCGCTCCTATTGGTTGCAGCGTATATATAGCTTAATGCCTTCCTCGACAAATGAACTATCCAATACAAATATAATTTTCATTTTGAACCAGTAGTTCCTGAGATTAGCGTGTTCAAACAAATAAACAAACTTCAGCTTTATAATATTAGTATAGATTTATTTCATATTAATATCATCGTATACAATATTCAGCATTCATAATTTCACTCCGTACTGTATACATATATTTCCAAAGACCTTCCCCAATGCCTTTTATTGATTGAATTTTGCGATATTCTGCTTTCCTATCAATCCATTCCAGTACAGTAACTGGGCGCCAGGGATGGACAATTCGGCAGACAAGGATTGTTTAGTAATGTGACCTAGTTGCCATAGTGGTAAGAATGTACTTGTACCATTGTGGTTAATTCTATTGACTGATTGCTACTACTTGACTTTTCGTCACGATAAGTTACTTAATTAATCAGAATTTATTTTTCATCTTATAATTCTTCACACACAGAATTATATTTATCTAATCATCTAAAAAATGTAGGAATCCACCAAGTTCCGCGTTCCGTACATGCTCTGTGCCTAATTCTTCAGGTACCCACTTATTTTTTTGTAAATAAATTAGTGACTATATGTAAGTATTGGGTTTTGTGAATATAATTTAAATTGTTTGTTTTGTGTACGTACTTAGATAACTATAACGAGCCCATAAGAATGCTGCCTGTCCGGAATATATTATGAAGTCGGTATTGCTAACTATGATGCATCGTTGAGCACGCTTAAGAAATCGTTGTCAGTTGAAAGTAATTGCGGACGTAACTTAGTAGTGCCTTATGTGTTATCATATACGTATGTTTTTTATATGTTTACAAATTGATTCAATATTTTTGTAGTTCTGTGAAAATTGAAAGAAAAGTTTTTTTTCTGGGAAAAAAATACTATTCTATTGCGGAATTTAATATATTTACATTCTTGAAGCTATTTCGTCTGTGGTGAGTACCTTACAATATTATAGTAAACGGAAATTTATAATCATTGTATATTTTATATATTTTAGAATATAATAGTACAAGTCATCTGCACGGATGTCGAAAAACCTACACATTTCGCAAAAAGTAAACATTGTAGATTTATTTTATTGCAGGGATATTTTATGTACTTAAGGATTTTTTATAATCGACATTCTGAATTATGAAATTTATAGAGCAGTCGGCACTATTAATGCATCTTTTTATTATAGAATTCTAATATGTGCGTTAAAATTATATATCTAATAATTGTCATTACGATTCGCAACTGACATTACACAAAGGCAACTTTTATCTAGATATAACAAATATCTACTTTAAATTTAATTAAATCCGCTATAGTAAAATAATATGCATTTACTTCTACCTACTTTCTACTACTTTCTATTATTTTTTTTATTGTTATCACTAGTATAAGAATAATATATGTAAATCAAAGTCTTTATATCAATGTGGACGTATAAGGCTATTTCTTCATTTAGTTCCTATAAACAGAGCACCAGACATTACTTCTAGCTTCACTAGATACTGGGTATAATTTTTTATGAAAGCTTTTCCTGTAGATTTTTTCTAATTTCATTGATTATATATTACAAATACATACAGTAACAAAAATGCCGCTGTTCGCATTATAATATTATGTATATTTTTAAACCGGAAGGAGTCGAAACGTAAACTTTGTTATGTTATACAATAATATTATTCTTAGTAAATTTTATTATAAATAATGAATATATTTTAATATATAAATTCTGATCATTATGATTTGGTCGAGGTTACGGTCGTTACAATTTATGTATTTGTCCCACAAAATTATTATAAAACCTACATGGGGGTAAAAAAACTTAATTGCAAAAATCTCTACAGGATTACAAAATCTATATGGATTAAAATATTCATTCGAATCGAAAACCTTTCCTATTATTAAGTAGATTTTGAATTGAAGTTATCTGCGGTTTTAATAGCTAAGCAGCTTTTGCTTAGTAACTTGTGGTTCGGTAAATGGACCATGGAATCTTCTAAGTCTTCCGGAATGGCAACACCATGAGAGTAAAGAGCACGGCCATCCGATGATAACCCGTCTCGCGTTCATATATATAGGCCATTGTTGCTATTCATTTTCCATTTTAATTAAGTACATAAAAATAATTAATTCCGTTGAATTATGGCCAATATAATTTAGTAGAAAACGCTCTTGAAAACTATAGCCTTCCTAATAATCGAAATTATTAGGAAGGCTATAGTTTCACTGCCGATACTGTTGATTATACTGCAACTATGTACCAAATTTAGCTTCAATTTTAATAGCTACTAATAGTACACAATACAGCGTCTATATAACTCCGGTCATACATGAATAAATATGTATATACACATCATTTATTAGTTTAATAATAAATCACAAAGTCTAAATGTATTATATAAATAATAAACACACACACATACACATAGTTAAAGATAATGTTTTGTTTCTTCTTTTATTCTTTATACACAAACATTGAATAACATTATACTGGTGTATTATAAATCCTCAAGTAACTATCTCTAATCGTTTTACACCCAAACCACTAAAAAACTAATAACACTGAATATGTAAATAGATTCATTAATTTCATTCATGCGTTCTTAGCGAAGGAAATATACTACTTTTTGTCACGAATATAAAACCTGAAGTAAATAGATGAAATAGGATATCAAAGTACCTATATATGAAGAATCAAAAATTTTAAAAGAATAATAACTAATCTATGCATATACAGCAACGAGTAGGGATGATAGATAATTGTTAATTTCAAGTCTTCAATAATATTTAACATCGATGTTAAGTCACTGATAACATCGATAAAAAACAACAATTGAAATTTAACTTCAAACCTGATTATCTTAAAAAATCCCATCTGCTAATATTGATAGTTTTATTTCATATATAAGTATGTCTACACTCTAGTAAAACATCGATAATTAGAGGAGAAATTTGTTGTTAATGGGAACTGTTGCGTTATTGCTGTCTAGTTGACCTCTACGCGGTCCTGGAAAATCGTCATGGTTAATGAGTGATTTCACCTTAATTCTGTCATCCTTCACCGGTAGCAAAGCAAATGCACTTTAACATTTGTAACAATAAATACTTATTATACTCCTTATATAGGTATGTAAAAAGAGTTATCCTGGCCGATTGGTGCTTAACATACTTTAATAATTGATTTAACATTG